GATAATTAATGATATTTTTCATCATATACTATTAAAAAACGTCACTAGTTTTTAATTTTCAGCAACAGTTTAAAGTTGTTATAAAAAATAGCACTAATTATAAGTTTTAGCAGCAGTTTAAAAAAATCGTCACAAAAAAATGTTATTAATTTTTAACTTTTAACGACAGTTTAAAAAATTCATCATTGAAAAACGTCACTAATTATAAATTTTAGCAATAATTTATAAAAATCATGATAAAAAAAATCACTAATTGTCAATTTTTAGCGACATGTGTAAAAAATTATCACAAAAAATTTTTTTTAGTGACGATTGTACTAGGACCTATTTTCAATAGGACTTGATGAGAATTAAGTCTATTTATTAAGATCTATTGATAGTTTATCCTATTATTTATCATGTCATTGTTAAAATTTGTTACGGTAAATTTGAAAAAGAGAAATTACAAATATACTTCTTATGATCTACTTAAAATATGAATTGTCCTTTTATGACTATATAAATTACATCCCGTCCTTTCAAGTTTCTAATTTCATAACAAATGACTTCTTTTATTAATAAATCATCAAATCAATTAACAGTTTTTAATTATATCATAAATTTATTTCAATTAATAATTGAGATAATATTATTATTGTATATAAAAGTAGTTAGGAATTTTATTTTTTCAATTAATTATATTAAATAAAAAATTCTAATAAAGAAGTATTTGTAATTTTTTAAATCACAAGAGAGGACAATCTGTATTTTACATAAAGTTCAAGAAATATATTTATAATTTACCCATTCAAAAAATACATTTTAGCAGTGTACTATTTATTATGTCAAATTTAACATATTATTATTCTTTATGTCAAATTTAACACGATAGGAGTATTATATCACTTATCCAAAAGAGAAGTATTATATCAAATTATTATCACGTCAAAAAGCATCATGTAATTTTTATAATGTGAGTTTGCATTAAGCTAATGAATTAAATTCTTTAAATATTGATTATTTTATATTACAGATTTTTGAATAAATGTTTTATTTAAAGACATTAAAATACATGTAATTAAGTACAACAATTACATCGTAGGGTATAAATTGAATTGTGTTAAAAAATAACATATGCACTGTAAAAGTGGGTCTATCAAAATATGATATTTTGATATTATAGAGTATTGACATGATCTTTTGGAGATGGTTTAATACAAGAATTTAGTTTACGCTGTAATATTAATTATAAGGGGAATTCTGGTGTGTATATGACGTTTATGATTTTGGTTATGATTCATTATAGTGTTAATTATGATTTTGACAAGTGCTTGTTTTAGTTTAAAAGTTAAAAAATTACTAAAAAAATCAAAAAGCCTATAACATATATTAAAAAGTTAAAGATTTTCTGTTCTCTCTACTTTTTGTACATTTTTTTGTAAAAAATCAAAAATTCATTCCAAATATACTATATTTTTTATTTCATATTTTAGCCAAAAAATTAAAATAACATGTTTACAAACGAGACCTTATTGTAATGCTAGTTATAACTCATTATGATGCCAATTCTTATTTGTTATGATTATTATTTTAGTTATAATTCAAAAGATGTTTGGTTATATTTTATGTGGTGTTTGTTCTCATTATTAATTTTTATAGTTATGACTAAAAAGAATTTAATTATGATATTTATAATAATCAACACCACAAATATCATACCTTGCATATGATACACAGCTTAAAAAGGGTGTGTATTATGCATGACCTAATTGCAATATTGTTAGAGTTAAAGATAGAAAAACTACAAGTAAAAATCGTAAAAAAATTACAAATTAGTGAAAATTTAATTTTAATTCATTGGAACCTTGGAGGTGAAAAAAGTAGAAAAATTCAAAGGGATGAAATCTATTCTTAAATTTTTCAAAATACTCTACCCTCTGGTTAACTTTCTCCTTTCTTTTCATCTTCCATCCATCTCCATCGCCGACAATCCTTCTTCACTTTCTCCCACCACCCTTCATACCTCCTCTGCGTTATTCACTACTCACCTTCTAACTATCCTTCCCATGCATGCAAAAGAGGAAGAGAGGGTAATCGTTGGTTGTATAAGAAATTAAGGATTTAGGGTTTTGAGTGGAGATTTGCAAGGGCTAAGTATGTCCGGTGATAGCAGAAGAGGGTTTGTGGGTGTCGCAGTGGTGCGACAAATGGGTGGAGCTGGCAGAATAAGGTAGACAGCGGGCTAACAATGGCGGAGAGGTGTTAATGGTTAATGGTGATGATGGCTGGCATTGCAGAAGAAATAGAAGAGAAAAAAAGGAAATGGAGAAACAAATTCATTAGTTTCAGAAATATTTCCACTCGATTCTAATTATTTAGCTTCATTTTTCATCTTTATTGTAATTACTTTTCGAGGGAATTTGGTCAAAATTTTCGCTCATAATAAAAGAATTTTGGGTAAATTACAAATACACTCTCTAAGGTTTGTTTAAAATACAGATTATCCCTTCTGGTTTGAAAAATTACAAATATCCCTTTATTAAATTTTTTATTTAATAGAATTAATTACAAAAATAAAATTTATAATTGTTCTCCTATACAATAATAAAATTACCTAAATTATTAATTGAAACATATTTTTAACATTATTAAAAACTGTTAATTGACTTGATAATTTATTAATAAAATGGGTAATTTGTTATGAAATTAGAAACCTCAAGAGATGAAATGTAATTTTCAAAATCACATGGGGTGATTCGTATTTTAATCAAACTTTAAGAGGTGTATTTGTAATTTATCCTAAAATTTTCATGCATTAAGAACAAGTACAAAAGTTTTTTTTTTTTTTTTTTTGAAAAATCCAACATATATCAGTATTATCAAAATATATTTAATGAGTAATTTAATATTTTAAACCTTTAAATTAGATAAATTTTGATTTAGATATCGTTTTTTAATAAGATTAGTATTTTTAGAATTCTTTCGTTGAGATCTATTAAGCAATATCCATATTGCCCATAAAATTCTTTAAAAAAATAATAAAATTTTTACCATCAAAACTAACGTCAACAGTAAATTTTACTATCTCACAATAAAATTTTAATTTTTAAATAGTAAAATACCATCACCATCACTAAACACTTTAGTCAATGTAATTTTTAATAAATAGTTATAAAAATATAATATTAGAGTAAAATTTTATCATAATTCTTAAATATATCATCCTGAAACAATATTTCAAATCCTATCATCATCAAAAAAAAAAAAAAAAAAAAAAGCAAAAAAAAAGCAAAAACACTCAAACCAAATTGTCATTGTCAATTTTATGAACAAACTAAGGTAAATTATAGTGTCATTTATAAACAGATCATCACCAAACAAAACTCAAACCAAAATAAAATAGTAAAATTGTAGTGTCATTTGTGTAGGTCACGCGCCAATATCCGTCTAATCTGTCTAACTTATCTGTTCTGCTTCTAGAGCTATCTGTGAGTAACAACTTTGTAAAAAGATGTTTACTTATATGTATTTTTTTTTACAATAAGTTATACTCTACTTTCTGAAATGATATTTTTTTGATGGATGAAGGATTGTCCAATTTCTGAAATGTAATCGTGGCATCATTAGCATCTGTTATCTAATATCTAATATCTGTGGTCTGTTACCTGGTACCAAGGATCTATGTGGGTTCCAATCATAGAACTATCTGTCAAACCTATATGGTTGTCTATTACGATTATGCATAATCATCTGTCTGATCTACTATGTATATGGGTCTTATATGACCATTTGCTCTGTTAGCTTACAGATGTATCATGTATAACTGTTTACAAATCTGAATATGTATAAGAATATGTTTCTGATCTAATTTCTGAATCTGTTATGGACATTATTCAACAAAACCTTTACTCTATTATTATTCATTAGACAACTCATTATCTATATTATGTATGTAGGTGATCAGGTACATGACAAGGCTTGAGACTTTCAGTCTGGATTCTGTTTGTGTCAGCCAACCAATACGTCTCCCGAGGAGCTTTTGGAAGTCTTTTGTGGTCAAGTTTCTGTGGGCAATGTTTGTAACCAAACTAATGAACAAGTTTTAAGCTTTTATTTCTTTTGTTTATTTGGACAAGTCTTTGTGTTACTCTGTAAATAGGACTAAGTCTCTTTTTGATTATTTGTACATGTAGTGACCAAGAGTGACGTCACCACATAAGTTTGCACAACTCTATGGATATTGTATTTTTGATATTTGCTTCTGCTAGCCCCCTTATTTTGCTAATCAGTCTCAAAGACCTTTGATAATCTTAGAATTACTGGCCGGTTTGGATCGTGACAGAATGTGAGGGATTTTCTCCCTAGAATAAGGGAGGTATTTTTTTCTATAGAATAAATGAGAGCTTTTCTCCATGAAATAATGAAGAGATTTTCTTCTTAAAATGTGAGAGAAATTTTCTCCACGAAATGAGGGACTATTATTATTTTTTAATTGTGTATTGATTTCAAAATGAAAACATGTTCAAAATGTTTAAAAGAGTGATTTGGTCATATTATCTTAAACATGACTTAATAGAATATGAAAAAAGGAAATAAATTAAATAAAACATAATATTTGAGAATAAAACTTTCTAAAAAATAACCCTTTTTCCAAATTACAAAGCAACGGAATAACAGAGGAAAGTGGGAATGGAAAATGAGATGAGCCACTTTTCATTTAGGAAGAGCTAGTCTGGTTTTCTAAGTAATTTAATTAATTTCTTTTAAAAAAAAAAGAGTAATTTAATTAATTTAGTCTGGCTAAATTAATTTTATTTGAAAAGTATTTTTGATTTTTTTTAGATGTGATAATTGTAAAAATAATAATAATTATTATTATGATTTGAATATAAAATTTTATCTTATTAATTTATTTATTAAATTTATTTTATCTTTTTATATTTATTTAGATAATAAATAAATAATTGTTACCGAACGACACCTGAATATCAAATGAATATCTGTGCTGTTTGGGTGTTTGGAATCTTACGATACAACCCCATCATCCAAATATACTCTCTCTCTTAAAATCCCTCTCTCTTCTCTCTTTCTTTTTACTAACCAAAACTCCCTTGGAATTTTCTGTCAAATCTCTCTCTGCCAACCGTCTGGTCGGCAACGAAGCTTCAGGTCATCAGGTGTGTGAGACTCTCTGCATACACACAGTGTGTTGTCTCTCTCTCTCTCTCTCTCTCTCTCTCTCCTTAAATTCCTCACAGACTCTTCACTCTCACTGCCCTCAACTCCAAAACTTGTGATTTTCAACAACAATCTCTTTCATCTTTCTTTTCCACAAACGATATAACACAACCCAAATTAAGAACCCATTTGATCGATTCCTATTTTGTGGATCCAATCGAAGTTTCTAAATGATGGGCAATCGGTTTTCCGATCAGTTTAGGCAGCCTCAGATGTGAGAAAGAGGTCCATTTCGCTGCTTCATCTGATTTTGATTCCTCTTTTGGTTTCGGAATCCACAAAGAGATTCAACGTTTCGGGCAACCGAGGTAGTTTTTATTCATCTTCCCTATCTCTATTCCATTTTTCCCGCATTTTCTTTTGTCCCTTTGTTTGGCTACTCAGAAAACAGAGGAAAAACAAATACAATAATATGAAATATTATCACTTTTTGTGTTTTTATATGTTTAGAAATCGTGTCATAAATTTTAAATATTCAAAAGTTAATGTTTTCTCGGCAACCAAACTGTTTTTAGTATTTGCCTAAAAGTTTTGCCTTTTTCTTTTGGTGGCAGCATTCACGGAAATTTAACAAGGAAAAGAGGAAATTTTGCTTAGATTGGGATGATTACTGTGATGAACTCGATACATAAATCGATGAATGAATCGGAGGAGTGCTTGGATTCTCAATTATGGCATGCCTGCGCCGGCGGTATGGTGCAAATGCCGCCGGTGAACTCAAAAGTGTTTTATTTCCCTCAAGGCCATGCTGAGCATGCTCATGAGAAACTTGATTCTGGGAATTTTTCAAGAATTCCCGCACTCGTTCTTTGTAGAGTATCAGGAATCAAATTTTTGGCTGACACTGACACTGATGAGGTTTATGCCAAGATAAGATTGGTTCCTTTGAGGAACAATGATTCTGATTTTGATCATGATGATGGGTTTCTGGGAATTGATAAATCTGAGAACAAAGAGAAACCCTCATCTTTTGCGAAGACTTTGACACAGTCTGATGCTAATAATGGTGGGGGTTTCTCTGTTCCACGGTACTGTGCAGAGACGATTTTCCCGCGGTTGGATTATTCAGCTGAACCTCCAGTTCAGACTATCCTTGCAAAGGATGTTCATGGAGAGATCTGGAAATTTAGGCATATTTATAGAGGGACTCCGCGTCGTCATCTTCTGACGACAGGTTGGAGCAATTTTGTGAATCAGAAGAAGCTTGTTGCGGGGGATTCGATTGTTTTCTTGAGAGCAGATAATGGGGATCTTTGTGTTGGAATTCGTCGAGCAAAGAGGGGTATTGGTGATGGACCTGAGTCACCTTCTGGATGGAACACAGTAGGTGGGAATTGTGCTTCTCCTTATGGTGGGTATTCTGCTTTCTTGAGAGAAGATGAGAATAAATTTATGCGAAATGGCAATGGCGGTAGTGCTAATTCCAATGGGGTTTTAATGGGGAACGGAAAAGTGAGGGCTGAATCTGTTATTGAAGCAACCGCTCTGGCTGCTAATGGACAGCCTTTTGAGGTTGTCTACTATCCACGATCAAGTGCTCCAGAGTTTTGCGTGAAGGCCTCATCTGTGAGGACTGCAATGAGAATTCAATGGTGCCCCGGGATGAGATTTAAAATGGCTTTTGAAACAGAAGATTCATCTCGTATAAGCTGGTTCATGGGGACTATATCTTCTGTTCAAGTTGATGACCCGATCCGGTGGCCTAATTCTCCATGGCGGCTTCTCCAGGTAACTCACATCCCAATTTGCTCTGTAAAATGTTAATTTTTAAATGCTGATTTATGTTTCATTTTGTTGATGTGTTGTTATTGTTGTGGAACCTAGTATTTTTCCTTGAACTAGTTTAAACATGGCACTTGTTTTTGTAGTAAGTTTATCTTCTTGTGTGCAACTATGGGAAGAATTTACTCGTGGTAATGTTAATCTGCTTGTTGAGTTTAATAATCAGTTTTTCTTCCATGAATGGCATATGCTGCATGTATGTGATGCGGTACAGTCGCAGTGGTTGCTTGCTAGAACTCTATCTAATACTGATAAAGTTAAATCTTAGGAGTTAGGCCATGTTTGTTTGGGTAGACATGAGCTTGGGATTGGACTAATAGTCCAATAAAATTATTAATCTGATGTTTGGTTAAACAATTGAAATACGGATTAATTATTTTAAACTTGACTATTAGTTAAGGTAGGATACATAATCCAACGAATTGGTAGTCCTAGGACTATTAGTCATGGGAATGCTAATCTAGTCCGCCCAAACAAACATGGCCTTATGGTATTGTGGTAATGGAGGTCACAATTCCTTCTAAATCAAGATCTCATGTTGCACAGTTTGACCATTAATGTTAAGGGTGGAATGACAGACACTGGAATTGTGTCATTGTATTTGTATCACTTACATCTAAATGCTTGATGGGGGATAGCAAATTCCTAAAGAGTGATAGTAGTTCTAAAAGGGCAATCTAGTTTGAATTTGTTTTCCCAACTTCTGTCCTGGTTTGCCTGCTCTCTTTGTCTCCATCCTCTGTTTTCTATGGCTTCAGAGTGATAGCGAACTTGTTGAGAAAGAAATCCATGTTGATGATTTCAAATACATATCTAGACAAAACGGCAACTTACATTTCCTGAACTGGCATGAGAGAATCCTGGCCTTTGACTTGATACAGATTTTTTTTTCCCCTTATATCTTGGATTGTCTAACATTGACTTCTTATCCTTTTCCCCGTGTTTTCAACATCTTGTAAAATTATAGATTGACATTTAAACATGATGGTTTTCATATGTTCAAGATAATTAGTTATTTGCTATTTTCCTTTCCTTTCCTGCTCCCTCTCTTCAATGTTTGATTGTTTTGAGATCAGTTATTAGCACCCACTGCAACTGACAACTTAGAAGTTAGAGCAAACAAAGAAAGCATAGTTTTCATGTGTGTTCACAATAAAAATAATTGTTTTGGCTACTTTACAAAAATTAAAAAAAAACAATTTAATAGCCCTTTTGTGTTAAAATACTTTTTCCCAGATAGAAGGTAGGATAAAGTAGTAAACTTCTGAAAATTTTCGAGCCCTTTTTACATGATGAGCATGCAATGCATAAACCCACGAACCATGTAGTGGACACTGACAAATACAAGCTGAGAATTTGTCTGCTAGTAAGTATCAGTTTAAGTTCATTTGAAGGGGAAAATTTATTGAAACTAATGGAATTGCTCTTTTTTTTGGTGGTGGTAATTTTTGGTTGTATTTCAAACGTGAGATTGGGAATTGCTTGGAGTATGCCACTTTAATTAGTTGCTGGTTCTAATTCTTCTTGGCTAAAAATTATCTCGCAGGTGGCATGGGATGAGCCAGATTTGCTTCAGAACGTGACCCGAGTCAGTCCATGGTTGGTTGAGTTGGTATCAAACATGCCTGCCATCCATTTCTCTCCTTTCACTCCACCAAGAAAGAAGTTGCGGGTTCCGCAACCCCCCGATTTCCCTTTCATTGGTCAACTTCCAATGCCATCATTTCCCAGCAACCCCCTCAGGCCCAGCAGCCCCTTGTGTTGTATATCCGACAACATTCCTGCAGGCATACAGGGAGCCAGGCATGCTCACTTTGGACTATCTTCCGCAGATCTCCACTTCAACAAACTTCACTCGGGTCTGTTTCCCCTTGGATCGCAGCGACTTGATTATGCTGTCCAACCACCTAGAGTTCCCATTGGCAACCTTACGGACAATCCAAAGGACAACAAGAATTTATCTTGCTTGCTCACCATGGGAATTTCTACCCAAAATTCAAAGAAAGATAATGAAACAAAGACACCTATGTTCTTGCTATTTGGCCAGCCCATTCTAACAGAACAGCAGATCTCTCAGAGCTGCTCATCTGATGAGAATCCAGAGAAGACACCAAATTTTTCTGATGGATCGGGATCAGCGGTTCTCCAGAATGGTCCACCGGAGAGCTTGTCTGATGATGGATCGCCCTGGTACAAAGATCACCAAAAATCTGAGTTTGGATTGGAGACTGGTCACTGTAAGGTGTTTATGGAATCAGAGGATGTGGGTCGGACCCTTGACCTCTCAGCCCTTGGATCATACGAAGAGCTTTACAGAAATCTGGCCAACTTGTTGGGCATAGAAAGATCAGGGATGTTGAGCCACGTGCTCTACCGGGATGCTGCCGGTGCCATTAAACACACTGGAGACAAACCCTTCAGGTAAATCATATACAGAAAAATTAATGACAATAACAAGTACACAACCAATATCTTCTGTTAAAGACCGTGTGGAATATTAAACACGTTCATTTTGGATGTTGTGATGGTGGTTGTTGCAGTGAGTTTTCGAAGACAGCAAAAAGGCTAACGATACTAATGGATTCAGGAAAGCGCAACATGGGGAGGTAGACTAAAAGTGACAGGTTGTGAAATGTACAGTTTTGAATTATCAAATCCTTGGTTTAGGTTCTTGTTTTTTTCCTTTTGGTGGTTGTGGAAGAAACCTGCTTCAACTAATTTTGGGAATATTAGCTTGAGACTTGTAGCTACGCTTCAATTTGTCTTCTTAATGACAGGTTTTGAATTATTTGCTCTACATCATAGTCTGTTTTCTTGTTTCCTTCAAAAATTATTTCTGAGTTTGGATATGGAGAGTTCTATCGCCAGACTGCTGGCACACAATGCTGATACTGCATTAAACCCTTCTTTATGAGCGGAAATTGTTGAGAATGTCTACTTGTGATCAACAACTTTTGGTGTTTGAGGTACATGTTAAATTCAGTGGTTAGTTTTCACTTCACAAGCCTAAGTTCAGTGGAATCATGCAGAATCTTACCTCAATTGCCTTTAGGTATAACGCAGACTCTTAGAATAAAAAAAATTATATACAATCCAAATAAATTGTATCAAACAGCGCACAGTAGAGGTGTCCAGGCAAGATTGACACCTGTTTAATTATGTAAATCAGGTGTATCAAAAATCAGCTTTGATGAAAGAAACAACTGTGCCAACTGGAATGTTTTTGCATATATGACAACTATCACACATCTATTCTACATCTAGGGTTGTGCCAAATTATACATCCTTTTCAGTGCATACTGTATGCACTTGTCACTTTAGAGCAATAATCAAACACTATTTTGGGTTGTAGCTACTGATCATCACACTTTAATTATTTATCAAACCACGACTTCAAATCATAAATAATATCACTTTAGATAACTAAAACTATTTTAAGACAATCTACCTATGATAAATACCCTTTCAAATTGATCAATTGCACTTTGTTTTAAGAATGCCAAGCAAAAGATTCAAATGATTCCTATTATAATTATTCAAGACATCTAACTAAAAATTAATTGACTATATATGTAGAAGATTTCTAAATATATGAACTAAGTTGAAGTGGTTTAGGGAAACAATGAAAGATAAGTCTTTAATGATACAATATCTATAATTTTAATCATAAAATTATGAAGGTTTTGATTGTGTTTAAATTTTGAATTTATAAACAGAAATATAATATATATTTTTTAAATGGGTTAATTACACCAAAATTCCTTAACTATTAATGAATATTACTCTACTCCCTTCATCTATGAACTTGTATATTTTGACCCCCCTCAATTATACAAATGTACACCTTTACCCATTCCAGACCACCTCTAAAAGGAGTGATTTGCTAAACTTAAAGATTTCAACTTTACAATAAAGTTGACTTATTATCTTACTCATTTGGACTCACTTCGGTGATCTAAATCATTTATCTTATACAACTAAATAAGAAAGTTGGTCCATGCAAAAAATTAAATTTATCCAAATCGATTATCATATTATTAAATCATTTTTATCTACACGACTTACATGTTTTTGCAATAGACTATCCATTGTTATGGTATATATATGATTTGTCATGTGATTGTTTGTGTCTGATCAAGCTAATTTTTTGTATGCATATTCTTTTCAGCTTGCCATATAAGATGGATTGCTCAAATCATTGACATTAGTACAGATTAATCCCATAATGCATTAACTTCACATGTGAAATGGAGATCTTTAACTTTAGCAAATTCAAACTCCTCTAACAAAGATGTATTTATATGATTTTCGTAATTGAAGAGTCAATATATATAAATTTAGAAATAAAAGAGATAAAATGATATATCTTAATAATTGAGGTGATATTTATATAATTAAAAAAAAAAAGTAATAACAAATATCTTTCCTAGGTGTGGTGAACAAGTGGAGGGACAGCATTGTCTAAGCCTAGAGAGTGGCGTCCACATGGTTAACATTTAAATCACACTTTAATTGCAATAATGTTTTCTTCAAAGTTCAACTTGTAGGTAGGGACCAAGGCATACTGCTGTGATTAAACAGTATCAATATGTGGTATTTTGATGGAGACTTTTTTAAAATATTTTTTGATAATTTGAATCGTTCATACTATAATCGAATCGATTATGTTATAAAGTTTGTTGAATAGATTATTTATGTAAAAAAATTAAATTAATTGGAAATTTATAACTTTATAACAAGAATACATTTGTTTTTTAAAAAATAAACGTTTTACATTATCTTAATCCTCCAATGGTGCCGTGAGTGTTGCCAAATATTAAAACCATTGATCGGAATTGGGATTTGGGATAGGGATAGGGATCGGAATCGGGATTCGAATCGGAATAAGTTAATAATTGGAGAGCCTGAAATGAAGGATTAATCAGAGAGAGACTGGGTTTAAGGATTTGTTGTCGGTCAAAATGGAGAATAGGGTTAATGAAACACCTTGGGGAGTGACTTGTGCCGTAGACATATATTGTATTGTATTGTAGCCAAACAAAGATTACGGATTCAGATAAAACAACTTTGCTTAATCCCATGCACTACTATTCAATGTGTGCACGTGCATTGCCCCCTTAAACCTGTCTCGGTTAAATTGTTTCTTTGAAATATAAACTTCAATTTGAGAACATTCAAGGGATTTGTGGTGCTTATTACAATCCCTTTTAATTGCGGTAAATATTAACCATTCTTCTCTGAGCATTGTTTAGTGTTGAAAAAAATATAAAAAATATTTTGAAAATATGTCAAAATATTAAAAAATACATTAATTTCAAGAAAAGCGTATTGAAATTAGTAAAAAGTGTATTGTGTTTTTCAAATATTTGTCTTTTGCTTGTGTCCTAGGAGTACTTGTTAGTAAGACGTTTTAATATTTAAATTGTTCATTTTGTAAAATCTTTTATATATATCATTATCTATGACAAAAAAATCATTACTTTTTCATTTGTGTTTCTTAAAACAAAATGAAGGTCTATTTTCGAAGATATATTTATTGTCTATTTTTTTGAAAATAAACATAATAAAATAAAAAATTTACAATTTTCAAATCGACCTAATTTTTTTTTTTTTTTTTTATGAATGATATACATTGTAAGACCTAAAAAATAAATAAACAATTCGAATCATCGAAATAGAAGTTCTATCGAATTCATATTTGAACATGATAGAAACTCAACCGTTATTAAATAATCTCCAAGTATTATGTGGCATTATTTATGTGTTGCTTTAAATCAATTATGTAATAAAAAAAAGGTAAATTACACTCACTCCTCCTGAATTTGAAAAAAATATAGTTAATCTCACATATTTGAAATAATTACACAGACTTCTCTTTTAGTGTGATTAAAGTAATTAACACTAATGCAAAAGGTAGGTTGATTTAAAATAAATAAAAATAAATATATATTTTACATGACAATATTATTTTTTAATTCATATGACTAATAAATTACTAATAAAAATGATCTAATTATTATGTGAATTAAAAACTCAAGAGAGTCCAGTATAATTATGCCAAAAATATAAAACCACCTATATTTTCTTTATATTCAGGAGAGGTGAGCATAACTTACCCTAAAAAGAATATATAAATGAAACATAACCTTTGTTTGGACCCACTTATTGTGTGATGTGATTCTTTATTCGTCGAAAATATCGGGTATACAATGCCACATGGTATTCTAAAGTCACGTTTGTTTAGCTCCTTAAGAGCAGGGTGGAATTGAGCGAGGAAATTATTAGAGTGGTAATATTAGATTAAAAATATAGGATAAAGAGTGTTTATTTATATATCACCGGATTAGTAATACTATAAATAGTATTAATATATAAAATTAATATTTTTTATTTTTTAATTTTTAATATTATTTTTTTTTTGGTTCAAAAAAAATGTAAATTTTGTTTAAAAATCATTTAAAAAATCACTAATCCCCTCGCTCAATTTTTAATCCCAACCCTCCCTTGGATTGGTAGTCCCACCAATAGAGGGGATTACTAGTCCAAGGAGATAGTTAATCTCCTCACTCTTGTCCCCAACCAAACACTTTTTAGGTGGGTCTTACAGGCTATTAGTCCAATCTCCCTCTCCACAGAGCAAAACAAACATGACTTGAGAATATCTAATAATTTTCCAAAAAGCAATTGTTTGGTTTGAGTTTTCTGAATTCACTTTTCAGAAAATTGAAACTTTTTGTTTTTCATATTTTTTTTTGTTTTCATTGAATTTTTTGAATATTTTAAGCAATTTTTTTTAAAAAAAATTTTAGATACACCTAACATAAATACACTTAAAAAGTATAATATTTGTGACATTTAAAAAAAATGACTAAATACCAAAAATACAAAAAAAAAATATGAAATTCAATATATTTTTGTGTATTCTTATGTATTTATTGATTTTTTTAAATATTTTTTTACAAATATTTTACTTTTTAGATACATCTAAATAAGGTGTATCTAAAAAAGTAAAAAAATTACTTACAATTTTAAAAATATTCACTAAAAATTGAAACCAAACACAGTAATTTTAGTCAATTTGAGTTGAAAACAATTACAACATTTGGACAGGATCCTCTATACTGGAATTTATAGTCTTCTATTCAACACATTATGATCATGTCAATATTCAAATATTTCAATATTTTTGTCACATCATATGATTGGGTGTGTGTTAATTACAAAAATAAGAGATTTAAATAAAATAAATACAATAATAAAATTACTTAAATTATTAATTGAAATATATTTTTAACATCATTAAAAACTGTTAATTAACTTGATGATTTATTAATAAAAGAGGTGATTTGTTATGAAATTAGAAACCTCAGGAGTTGAAATGTAATTTTCAAAACCACAGGGATGATTCATATTTTAATCAAATCTTAAGGGGTGTATTTATAATTTACCCTAGATTTTTTATGGAAACCAAAAGAAAGCCTAAGAGTATCTCCAATGGTTGAACAAAATTTTCACCAAATTTGAGTAAAAAAAAAGGCATTTGGCTCAATCTGATATCAATCACTCCAACGGTGTACTGTAACTTTCATCAAAACGTACCGGACATCCAGGGGGACGATCAGCTAGTCGACCGGAAAGAGCAAAATCTGTACAATTCTGTAATTGAATTTTCAAGCTTGAGGGTTATCCGGTGGGTCGACCCCTGGGTCGACTGGGTGGTCGACCTCCCAGTGATACCACAATTGTCACACCCCAAATCCGGGCATGACCGGCCGTGACCCACAGGGACTTAGCCCA